AAATGTACTTCTTTATAATCTATTTAAAAATTAATTATATTAAAATATTTATAGTTTTTTATTTATATTTTCTGTTTTATACATGTGTTACAGCTAGCTCTTAAAAAATTATTATTATATTTTAACTTAAGTTAAAAAGTCCTTCAATACTTATATTAATAATATATAGATTTATAAATTTTTATAAATATATAAATACAAGCCTTATATGATAGATAATTTTTTAAAGATTATATATAAATTCTACCAGACTTCTATTATATCAGGACTGTTAAATCTGATAAAATTTAATATATTTTATATTATAGTAAGCTGTATATTTAAAACTTACTATTAATAATTATATTACAGAAGAGTTAACTACTATAAGTTATTTATAGTTATTAATAGAAGAATAATAATAATTGGTATATCTTCTTAAACTTTTATATTTATTTTATATATTTATACTTACTTTATCTAAAGTTAAAGAACTAATAATTTATAAAGTATTTAAAATATATAATTCTTTTTTTAACTATCTAGAGAATACTTAATAATATTTATAAAAAAAATATATTTAATAGAAATAACAGCTTTATAAAAATTTTAAATATGTATTAGAAAAACTGAGATCTTATTATAATTAAATTTATAATAATTAAGATTATTTATATATACTTATAATAATTCTTATACTAGATTTAAAATTATAGATTTTTAATACTGCTTAATAGCAGGATCCAATCTATGATTATAGTTTGATTTATAGGAAAATTCTGGAAGATCTTTATTTAAAATATAAGTTATAATACTAGAATCAGTTCAAATTAATATATTTAAAAAACTTATCTTTATTCTATCTTGTGAATCTGATTAATTAATTAAAATATTTTATATATACTAAATTTATAATAACCAAAGATTTTATTCCTGAAATTAAATAATATTTACAGGAAGAACTAATTCAGACTAAAAATATTCTTTAATATTAGAAAATAAACTAGAATTAATTTTTTATTCTCAATTATATGATACAAGATTTTTTTATAATTTTTATTAATAAAGTTAAAATTAAATAACTTTTTAATTTTATTTAAGATATATATTATTATTACTGTGGTTATCTTCTTCCAGATACTATTAAAATCTTAATACTTCAGATATATAAAAAAAGATTTTAATTATAAGATAAATTTAAATATATTCTAGATAATATAATTTTATTTAATTCTTTTATAAATATTATATTTATAGAGATACCAGCTACAGAAAATAAATATTTTAAATCTCTTAATCACAAAATAAATAATACAGATAAGTTTTGTGATAATACTGATACTAATAATATTTTTAATAATAATAATAATAGTAATAGTAATAATAAAGATATCCAGATTATTTAATATAAATTAGATTTGATTTTTATATTTTTTCTACAGAGAACTTTAATATTATTATAAGTTTTATAAATACTAGCTTAATACTGACTTTACAATCGTGACTATCAGATGAATTACTGTAAATAATTTAGAATTTAATATAAAGAATAGTATTGAATTTTTTCTAATTTAAGTTAAAAAATATTTTTATATCTTGATTCAGAAAAAAGTAGTTGAACTTAAATTAAAGAATATATTATAAATTAAATAAGAAAATAATATTATATATTACTTCTAAAGATATATTTTGACTTAAGTCAGAAAATATATTTTAAATACTATAGAAATTACAGTAATATTATATATAATTATAATCTTAGTAAGCCTGTCAAGCCTCTTTTTAAATATAAAGCTTAATTATAAAAGACTTACCTGACTTAATAAATAGCTTGAAACTTAATAAATAAGCTTTTGAAATTAGAAAAACTGCCCGTGAGCCTTATATAAGCAGGCTTGGGGTTGTCTTGGCACGAGCCGAGCCGGGCAATCCCAAGCTTTTTGGACAAGCCTTGCCATGTCTAATTTTAACTTTTAACTTAAATTAGAAAATGGAAAATATAATACCAGAAAATTAAAAATAATAAATTTAAACCAGAAATATAAGATAACTGCAAGAAAATAAGAGAGTTATATAAAAAAAGATTATATTTAAAAAAAAATATATTTCTAACTTTGGATCTTAGTGTATAATTATATAAGTAAATATATATATAATATTAGACCCCGGAGTAAATAAGTAAATAGTTTATATAAATAATATAATATTAGTTTATAAAATTTAAATAAATATAATTAGATTTACTCTATGATATCTTCTGTATTAAATATATACCTAAAAAACTATATAATTAATCAGAATAAGTCTCTTGGCGTGTTCTAACTTAAGTTAATAAGAATATATATTTTAAATCTCTTAGTAAGTCTCTACAAGTCCTCACAGGCAAGCCCTCTCGCCCAGTAATAAGTATCAACGCCAAGCCAAGCCTAGCCAATCAGAGCTTGAAGCTCGAACGGGTGAACAGCTGACCCCCATAAAGCTTGCCCGGCTCACCTGTTTGCCATGTCTACTTTATTCTATACTAGAAATTCTATTATTAACTAGTCTATCAGAAATACCTTTTTTCTTCCTGAGATTATCTATAATCTATTATTAATACTAAACCTTTATATATTCCTTTTTAGAATTCTCTTTTATAATAATATATTTCAGACTCCGGGAATAAAATCTATGGAAAATCTCTAATATCTATAAATAGAAAATAACTACTAGTAAATAAAGGTTTTATTAAAATAAAATAAGATTAAATATTATATATTCTGTAAAGTCATGAATATCTGTAATAAGATTTAAATATATTATAATCAGTCTATTCTCTTAAGTACCCTTTCCTAATAATTCAAGGTCTTCGGCGAGATCACTAGCTTTAAATAATTATTATTTATATATTAATTCCGGTACAATAGTAGTATTATTCTGAATAAAAATAATAAATTATAGAATATACTACCTTACCCGTTTTTCTATTATATAATATTAATTTAAAGCTGTTAGAATTACTAAATCTTATTAATAATATTTAATAAAACTTAATTAGAAAATATATAGATATTTAAATATTTTTAAATTATTATCTTCCTCAGTACATCAGCATTGATATACAGGTATTAATAAAAGAACTTAAGCTAGATTTAAATATAATAAGAACTGTCACCTGGATAAAATAATAAATTAATTAATATTAATTTTAAAAGTTTACTGATATATAGAAAACTATAATAAAATATAATCTAGAGCTATAGAAAGCTATTTAAAAATAGAATATATTTTTTAAAAAACTTTAGTACAGTCAGAAAAAGAATAGCTGGAAGCTTAATAAGCTTAATAAATTAAAATAGAATATTATAAATATACAGAATTAACTCTTATATATACTCTGCTAATATATGCGAGAGGGATTTAATAAAAAATAAATAATTTTTAATATTAAGTAATAACTGGCAGGCACTGTAATTCTAAATAAAAAAATAAAAAAATAATTTTAAATTAAAGAGTAGCTTTTTTCTTAGCAGATTTATTTATTTAATAAATTTATGACTTAATCTATCTTCTTATTAATAAAATTCAAGTGATAGTAGTGAAATGAGGATACTAAAATTATTTAATTTTATTATAAAATTCTAAAAATTAATTTATAATAAGATTAACAATTAAAGCAGATTATTCTGATTTAAGATATCCAGATATTTAGTTTTTTTAGAAAAATTATAGCACTGGCTGAACCTATTTTTCTTTTTTTATTATTTTTATAGTATAAGATCACCTTGCAGGAGGCTGGCGAAGATATTTAAATTATTATAAAATCCTAAGTATACTTTTAATACTATAAAAATTCTACAGAATTTAGTAATTAACAGCTAATGCAGTACTTCTATTATAAAAATCTATTATAATATTTCTGAATTATATATCTTAATAATCATTACTATAATTACTGCAACAAGTTAGTAGATAATAAAATATATTAGTAAAGATATACTGTAGATAAGTATTATTTAAATATTAAATACCTTAGGAACTATCTTTATAATTTTTAAATATATTATAAATAATATTCTAGTCCAGAAGTGTATTTATATTAGATCAGCTATAGAAAAATTAACTAGTTTATTCACGTGTGACTATAGAAATGAAATCTTCTTTAAATATTTACTAGTCTAGATTTAGGTCTGCTTCCCGATTTCATGTCCTCGGTTAGAGTTTTCTGGCGTCACACCAGATTGTATCAAGGTGTTCTGCTGGAACAAGAGTATAGGATCTTTCCTAAGCAGACAAGAGAGCTGATGTTCAATTACCTCACATCTCAAACAAAGACAATATGATACTGTAACTACCGGAGATGGTTTAGTTTAGTTTACATCAGCATTGCCGTCCCAGCCATCCTCCGTAAAAGAAACCAGCTCTACCTCTACGAGCCCCATCCCTGCTTAAGTCGCCAGAAATGAGCCGTAATCCAATATCTTTACAAGTAATTCCGCCCTAGATATTATTCCTTCAGAAAAAAAACTTCCTTGCCAGCCACGCCATGCTGGCAAGTTTTCTCCCAGTTTTAGGTAAATCCCATGAACGCATGTCCCATGGCGAGACTATTCCCAAGATATGTCATTTCTGGGACAAGGTGTCATGTACCGACAGTTAGTTCCTTGGCAGCACGAGAGGCCAAAGTGCTGAAGCGCTGAAACGGGAGGATCCACTGTAAACTAATCAGACGCACCAAGAGTCGTGCTGACAACGCTAGTATCAAATACATTCTCAGCCAGACAGACTCATGGCCAATAAAAGCCTGTTTTGTTGAAACTGGACCGTCGGAAAGTAACCCGCCACAAGACTGTCCTTTTATTGCTCAGCGCCGTGCTCTCTTCCACATCAACTCTCTCTTCTTTACCGCTCTGCTCCAAGTTGATACTGTACCGGCGCACCCGAATCTCCGCGATCAATGCGGTTATCGCTTTCTGTGACGTGGAAAAGGGGTCGCCTACCAGACGACCGAACGTTTCCCAGTAGAACCATGCCGTCTTGTTTCACAGCCTGACGCGGCCCAGGATGAAGTCACACCATTGCGAATTGAACACGGCGATCCAGAAGACACGGGATTCTGACGCGATATTTACCTTAGCCGCTTGGAGTGTTTCTGTTCCTTCGACTTCACGGCCAGTCATCATAAGTATGTGAGCAATAGAACATCGTACGATGCCGGCGTTGAAACCTCCCCCAAGTCCAATCTGCTCCAATACTACCAATGCGTTTTTCCATCGTGGTAGCGCCTCTTCCCACTGTAACTGTAAATGAGAGATCCTCGCAAGCGAAATCCAGACACGGAAGATATTGACTTGAGTAGTATAGTCTGGTGCACCCGAGGTTGAAAACACACGCTGGAGAGCAAGTAGAAGTGACTCCGCTTCCGTATACCTGTGCTGCAGCAGATACACTTCTGCAAGTGATAGCTGCAGACGTCGGCCCGTGCTGATGTCCTGCGTTTTTCTTTCCCTCATTGGTTCCAATTCTCGTAGGAGGAGCCTTTCGGCATCGGACGGTTGATTTAATTCACAATACAGCTCTGCTATCCCGGAGACCAGAGCTCGATACCAACCTGAGCCCTCAAAGAAATCGTCAAGGAGACTATCCCGGAGAACACTCTCAAGCAAGTCAAGAGCCTCCCTAAATAGACCCTGAAAGCGAAGAACCTTACCTAGAGTTATGTCTCGCGCTCGTAAGGTTATTCTTTCAAGAGTAGAGTATTCTGCACGCAGCGGTGTCCATTCAGTCAACTCCGCTTTGGCTTCAGGGAATTTTCTTTGGCGAATCAGATTCTCAGAATATGATATGATTAGGTCACCACGATGCGAATTGAGTCTCGGTGTTAACTTTTCATCCTCCTCAGAAGACACACGACGCAGGAAAAATTCTAAAGCGGTTTCCGATTCCTCGTGCTTCCCCGACATCCTCAAGATTGAACTTTCTCGGTACGCAAGCCAGGCATGTAGGTAAAGATCGTTCTTATCTTCCATTAACTTTTTGGCGCGACTTATCGCTTCAACTTTCCAATTTGCGTTTGAAAAGCGTGACGCAGCAATAAGGGTCGATGCGAGTTCGCGTGGGAACCAACCCTGCTCTCCATCCTCAATGCAGATAGCGTCATATTCAGCAAGAACTCGGCTCAGATGAGGTAATATTACTCTTCCCATTTCTCCGTTACTGCGAACATGTCAGATTTTATCACTCAATGGGTGTCGTATATAACATACAGTGGCTCAATGTACCTATTCCTCGGAAATGCATGGCAAATGAGTAGCAGGGCTTGCTTCCGCCAGCTGTTCACTTCTGATTGCGACAGTCGCTGCATCACACAGTACTGGACCAACGGATGAATAGAAAAGTTTCGGAATCCATTAGTCCCAGCATTGCAGGATATGAGCGAAAAAGCGAGCAATTTCTCAACTGCCACGTCAAAGTCAAACTCACTTTGTATAACCCTTGATAAACGGGCATCCACTCCTTCATCCTCTGCGCGGATCTCTGTCACCTCACCGTACTCGTCCCATCTTTTCTGTGAAGACGTCCCTCGATGTAAGATTACTTCAGAAATGGTTGATGGCTCTAGGAACGAGAAGAGAAGAAGAATGCGGATTGCATCAGGTGACTCTTGTTCAAGTTGTTTGAAGTTTATTTCCCATGCTGTTAAGACTGCTTTTTCCGTGTCTCCCAGACGTGAGACAAACCGGAGCAGGTCCTGTCGGCGTGTCGAGTAAAGTCTCCGGTAATCTGCCAGAGACCTATGTCGTGAGCGTACAAATGCTCCCGCCTGCACCAGAGCCAAGGGAAGTGATCCAAGAAGTTCAGCAATGGCTTTGGCATCCTCAAATTCACTTTGGCACGGTTGCTGGATCCCGGCCCTTTCCAGTAACAACTGCACTGCGTCTTCGATCGCCAGAGGCGTGAGTACGTGACCCTCATTAGCTACAGTCCCGATAAGACCCTGGTCACGACTAGTGATGATAACATGGCCCCAATTGACGGCGGGTAAATACTTCTGGATAGGGACTGACTCCAGATCATCAGCATTATCAAAGACAAGTAGCCACTCGGTGTTTTCAGGTCTCGCCAACCAGCTCTTGATAGAACTTATCTTGCTCTTCGAATCGCCAAGGTGGAGAAGGTCATGTAATCGATCAAAGTCCGCTTCTAATGAAGCAATGGAGCTTGCGTTCAGAAAAGCCACCCCTCTCTTATATTTTGAAGTATTCGTGAGGAGATAGTGTAAGGCAGTCTGTGTCTTTCCTGAGCCACCTTCTCTTAAGTCAGCAACCACCATCGAACAACGAATTTAATAACTTACCTAGACCGCACAGGGCAAATATTGATCTTGTCCGTCCTTTATTGCGGTCGAAGTACATCCTCATTGTTTCGAGGATATCAGCTCTACCGAATAGAGTCGAACAAGGTACGGTTGAAATGTCGAAGGGAATAGCGGGATCTTTTCGCATTAGCTATCATCAAGCGATGCTAGTAAGCAGGTAACCTACCTCTTTCCATATGTGGCGTTCTCTCCAAAGTGGAGAGGTCATGAAGATTGCCAGCAAATTCCTTCAGACGACTAACCACGGGACGGAAAGAGCGATCTTGGAGAGATTTGAATCTAACAATGTTCCGGTGATCGGCAAATTGAGGAACTGTGATTTCGTGAGGGACATTCAATACTGCGGATTGCTGTTCTACAATCTGCTATAAATGTTAACAGCGACACTGCGAATGACGCTAGGGATGGAAGTACTACCATTTTTTTAATGAATGGGCCGATGGAAGTAAGTTCCAATTCGTAGAAAGAAACGAGATGCACCGTCCTTCTTCTCTTCACGAAGTCCTCCGTGATCTCTAGTAAGACCTCAGAGTCCTTCTGCAGATCCCTAATAAGAGTGCGTGGAGGCCTCAGAGGAGAGCATGCGGAAATAATGTTTGCCATGAGTTTGCCCATGACAGCAAGGTTGCTGCCATTGTGCGGGGTACCTGGCAGGTTGTTAGGAAGTATCATCAAATTCGATAGAGCGATTACATACCAAGAAATAAGATCCCATACACTGCCTGTTGCACCTTTTCTTGTTCGTCAGAGCAACCAATCAATAAAGCCTTCAGCAAGAGTTAGACAGTGTTTAAGCTTCAGAGGCTGGAATCAGGCACCTTCTTCGCGACAATTCCACCCAAGCTATGGCAAACGAGCACAATGGGCCGGATCTTCTCCTTTGTACTAGATCAGCAAAAGCAATCCAATCATAAATATAACCATGTTGTTTGTGTTCCCTACTTCTGCAGCTGATCTTATGTCAGCCAACTCAGTGAGTAGTTTCAATGATATACTGCGTAGGTCTTGCTGGGCGGTAAAATTTTTAAAGCGAGCATTATAGCCAAAAGTCGCTATCCTAATGTTAGGTAATGCCTCAGGCAAGAGGTCCCTTAGCCACATGACTCCCGTGTCTTTATGAGTCCATGTGTCGAAGGGATCGCCGTTCAAGCCATGAATAGCAACTAAACTATCAAGCTGGTCATTATCAACTCGACTTATGTTGCGCAATGATTGTGTATCACGGCTTTTAGTCTCCAAAGAGGAGAGAATGAAAATATAATTCTTACTCGAACACGATATCACTCGGTTTATGTATCTTGCCCTCTCCTCTGTTGGATGAAGGATCATAGAGAACCGTGATTCCGTATTTATTTGCGCCCGTCATCATGATGTTGTAACCGTTCGCAATCGCATCCAGGACAGCATAAAAACGCTAATAAAAGAAGCCATCGGCAATTAAATACATCTCGCTTGGGCCAGGGGACGACACGTGTACTAACACCATACGCCGAGGAGATACGACCAAGTTCATCTGTCACACGAGCATCACCAATCCGAAAGCCCCTATAAGCGCCGACGGAAGAAACCGCAGGGTATTGTCTTATCACACCACCTGAACGGACTGCCTAGGGCGGCTTCGTCCCGCCCGAATCAGGCCAATAACGGACCCCTGTTAGGAGGATAGGATCTGCCGAGCGGGGTACGATGGGAAAGGCGCCAGGTGTGTTCATGCAGACTGGACTTAATAGTATCAGCGAACAATCGTAGTCACGTGATAATAAGCGAGGCTGATGTGTCAGCACGATGGTAAGAATAGGATTCATGATGCACTCTCAAAGTCCGAAGAATTGTAGCCCCAAAAACAGGCAGTGTCATGGTTCTAATTAGTATATGCAGTTAAGCATAGACGATTGTCGGCGGAGTTGTCATGTGAACCGTAATAGTTACAGTGGTATGTGCATCGGCCTGTTTGTCCCTCATAGACGGCAGTATGTGGCCTGGACCTTTTGAAGCAGTGTCGGGTGAAAAGAAGGACATAAATCAATGAAACCGACGCAAATCTAGATAGGCTACCAGTATTTATTTAAATACTTCTACCCTTATATTGAATGTACGTTAGCGTTCGTGGAGTGCTGCGGCAATGCCGAGTAATCCACTCAGATACTGCCTAGTGCTAATTTTAAACATGGAGATTTTGGCTCACGCCAATTTCTACAATACCGAAGTAGCTGAAAGCCACCTTCTCCTCGTCAGATCCTCCAAGGAGCTACATACTCCCTCAAAACATTTTCGGAATCAATTTTGCCAACCGTCCTTAGACAAGCAATGGCCCGACCAGAATCCAAACTCAAGGCACTTCTCAACGACGATGTGCTTGAGATCGAGGCTGCCTTGGAGAAACAGCCTCATCTCGTCATTGAAGCACTGATTGAAGCTTTTCTTCTATGTCCGATGGACGAAGGCATATTAGCTCGGCTTCAATTAGGAGACTGTTTCCGCCGATCCCTTCAATCCAGCCGGCAAAGAACACCATATCGACTACATACCATCGTCAGTGAATGTAAATCTGGAAGGACGGACTCACATTCGCTGGAAGGGAAATTTTATAACCATGGTGGTATTCGTGCTGTAGCTGCTCTCGCAACTGCAGCAACAGACAACAAGCAGGTCGTGACACTACTCAAGCACCTCCCAGAACGGCATCTGCAGGCACTTCTAAGGTCCATAGACGACATCGAACCACACCGCGACTTCATCTTTATCGTGGAGACTTTGAGCAGGAGGAAACCGCCAAGGTTATCAAAGAAGAAGAGCATTCCAGAACCTCGATCCCGTCGGCGTTACCAGTGGCCTAATGGTGCCAATAAATCACCGAATACATTAGATGAGCAAGTGCCTGATCACGGACGGTTTACAGAATGCTCGGCAAGAAATTCGCTTTCTAGGACCGGAGCAGCTGAACTCAGAAAACCACTTGATGAGCATGATGTTCCATGTCCAAGATCTACCCCTCATGAAATTGAGACACCAAGCAAAGCTCCCCCCTGTGATCAAGCATCCACACACCGCTGTTACAGCACCCAACCCGCCACTGGCGATCCTGCTGCAAATTTGGCAGGAGCCGACTCCGACCGGAACAAATCACAGATTATCTTCTCGGAACCTGTTCCGAACGTGGCACACACACCTGTCACAGGTACACAATATCCCCATATTGCGGTGGTTCAAGAAATGAAGGAGAAAGGCACACATATTTGTGCGAGCCACGACTGTGATTTACAGTCTGCGGGAACCGTGCTAACATCTTTAACTGTCAGGTTACCCATATCCAACAGGCGTTACTTCGGACTTTGGAGGCACATGGCAAGACTCCGGTATGTGCAGGACATTTCAACAAGAGATGCAATTAACAGAGATAACAGATAACTTCCGAATTGATCTGGACAACATACATGCGATATCTTATTATGATAAAGATTCGGACAACTCTGCCCTCGAACATTATGGCATTGACTTAGATACCTTCAACGCTTCTTGAAAATGGCGAGCAGGTACAGAGCTTCTCCTGAGGCGACCGCAATGTTGACTGCCTGATTGAATGACAACCATCTACCCATGATCAGAGGCTTCCCGTCTGCAGTTGATGGAAGCCGCTTGCCGTTGTTCAAAATCAACAGATCGCCTGGAAAAGTTTCGAAATCCGTTGGCCCGAGGCGTTCATTGCAAGGACCATGACACCGAATGAGAAATGCCGCCTTTCCTCTGGTCTTGCGATAGAGGTGTACTCAGTAAGAAAGCAACATGACACAATGGGATTTTGAGCTTACTTCAACACCCGCAGCCTTGATGAGAGGCATAACCTTGGTCGCCCGATCCGGGTGACTGCATTGTTCCACCACACTGCTTCCACGATAGGGCCGCCAGTGTTCCTGCGTTGTGGCTTCACTCAACCATGACGCAAAGGTATTTAGGGGTTCCATCGATCCATTAACGCCGACATAATCTTCGGGAGGGGCAGACGGAATCGACATGGTCGGAGCAAAGGAAATAGGCAAATGGCCCTACACTAGCTCACAGCTGTCGCATTATCTAGACTGCTAACAGCATCAGTAACAGCTGCAGGTTAGGCGGAAGAGACTATTCTTACCACATGCTAACGGCAGTATCTTGTTTCATCCTTCTGGTGAACGAAATAACTGGAGTGGGGGTGCTCAGCAGCTGCTTAGCCGGACGGGGCGCCAGCACGTGATCACGCGGCTCTCTGGACCGGAGATGATAATCACACCTTGCTAATCTCACAGGTAGTGTCACAGCAATGATCTTCCCCCGGAGTTGCTTCTAAGTCAGCTACCCATGCGCATTAGCAACATGAAGCGTAATTATGAAGTATTACTCTCCGGCAATATACTGCTCTCTATACTGACTTGAACAGAATGCACTCAAGCTCCTAGAGACTCGGAGGCGAAAAGCGCGACCGACAACCCCTGCCGCAACGTTCCAACAGCAAACTGCAGCGCCCCCGAGCAATACCCCGACAGTTAGGGGTGTGCCTAGCTTGAACGGGATGAAGGAATGGCTGCAAATGCTAGGGCACACGGTATATATGTCAACTTGTACGGGAGCGTACTTCTTCTCACGCTTTATAGGAATCCGATTTGAACAACCTGAATATAATTCATGTTGCTGGTACGAAGGGCAAGGGAAGCACATGCGCTTTCGCTCGTTCTCTCCTTCGTGCGCATGGTCTGAGGACAGGTTTTCCAAGTCGAGTTGGATTATATACCTCGCCTGATTTGCAATGTATCAGAGAGAGGATACAGATTGACGACAGACCCATCACAGAAGAGATTTTTGCACGATACTTCTTCGAAGTTTGGGATCGCATCATAACGCAGAACCCTTCCAAGGATAAAGAAGGTGCTAGACTGCCCCGATATTTGCAGCTTCTGGCCATATTGGCGTTTCACACGTTTATAAGGGAGAACGTTGACGCGGCAATATTCGAAACACATCATGGTGGAGAGTACGACGCCACAAACGTCGTGCAGAACCCCGTTGTGACTGGGATTACATCTCTTGGCATGGATCACGTAGCACAACTCGGACCTACGCTAGAGGACATTGCCTGGCATAAAGCAGGAATCCTCAAGACTGGAGTCCCTGCGTTCTCCCTTGAACAGGAGGCTGTTCCTGCTCGAATGCTGCGGAACCGCGCAGCCGAGAAACGGACACATCTGGAATTTGTCACAGTCAATACCTCACTTCCTGACAATTCTAAAGTGTTGGGTGTTCCAGTCCAAAGATTGAACTGCTCACTAGCTGTCGAATTGGTCAGAACATTTGTGCAAGTTAAAGCACCTGGACACGAGTTGAATGCCGAAGATATTTCTCGCGCCGTCGACAGCTTTTCCTGGGGTGGCAGATTTCAGATCATAGAGAAAGGTTTCTGTCATTGGTTTTTAGACGGTGCCCACAATACCTTGAGCCTCGAACAAGCGGCGGCGTGGTTCTCAGAGAATACTCGTACCGTAAATTGTCGCAGGTCAGTTAGTATGGAAGTAAACGAGAGATGCCGACCATTAACCACATTGTGCAGATGTCGTGTTCTAATCTTTAGCCACTTCTCGGAGGAACGAGACGGTAGGGTGTTAGTGGAGTGCTTAGGTCGTGCGCTATTAGAACAGGGTGCGAAGCCAGAACATGTCATTTTCACTACATATAACGAAAGGGATGATGGAACTAGCAGACTAGGTAAGATTCCGCATACAGCTCAATTATCTGTTTTTGCGCTGATCAGTTACTCCACAGATAAAACTCTCAAAGTACCAGAAAAGCCTTTTCCCGATCTTTGCTCTGTATATACTGCGATCTGGAGCAGGCTGGATCCTGAAGCGGTCGTTTCGAGCAGGCCAACCATTGAATCGGCGATAAGGCTTGCGGAACAGATCGCTGCTAGATGTGGTGGAGCTCAATGTTTTGTGACTGGAAGCTTGCATTTGGTTGGAGGAGCCCTGAATCTATTAGAGTCTTAATACGGCGCACACTGTAATTTCACTGTTTTTGCGATTTCCATTTGTATGTGTGCATGCTTGTCAGAGTCATCTATGCAGATATTATATTCTCCTTTGCACAAACGCTATTTACAACTTCCGAGTGCAATGTGTTTGTCCACATACAACTCTGGCTAGCTTCAACTTTGGCGTTTACTGCCGGCAAATTCTGAGACGGAACCTCTCTCCTTCTGGCATATTTAGAACCTTGTGCTATGTGAAAAGCAATCGGTTCTCTTGGCAGTTAGCCACATTGGCCCGCAGCAGTCCAAGACCAAGGTTTCGATATATGGGGACCACAACGAAATTTACCGTATAACAGACCAATGAAGTGCCATTCATTATGTGGGGAGGACCACTGCGGTACTACGTTTCGACTTCCGCAGCCATATCGGCCAATGCTATAAGCTGATATAGGCTGTCTTCAGGCTCAGGCTGTGAAGTATTGCAGGCACTAGTCAATAGCCCACGTTAGAAGGTATTGATAGATAATATGTGGTCGATACGAACGATGCTCTGGCGCTTAGGGTCACGACATTGATCCGCTCTGTCTGATTGCCGACTACCCCGAGTTATTCGATTGGCTGCAGCGAACCTACTCAAATGAAAGCGTCTATTGCCAGGAATTATTATGCGTAGAGTCATATTATCACTATGCAAGAAAAAACCACGGACCCTGTAAGTTGCGGCCAAATTTCAATTACCAAGATTCTCCATCGATTGAAACTTTGCTTACAACCAGACCTTTATAGGGCTGGACATTGGTGATTATTGTGATGGCCTTATTGATTCTGGTCTGTCACGGGTCCCTCGAGTGGACGACGAAATCAGGAAGAGACCGATATATCAAGGAACTCCTGAAACGAATTTGGCTGTTCTAGAATCTGCCCGCTCCGTGTTAAAGCAAATGGCCATGGATCTTCGAGTTTGCAGTTCCGCCTCTCCATTGTTGTTCCATCCGGATCTGCATGTGGCCAGTCTAAATAGCTGATCAGTTGGAACTTGGTTGTAGACGAATGTGTGGGAATCGGGTCGATCGATGGCTGTTGCGGTGAAAAAGTACGCGTTTCGGGGTCATGGGATGCCTGACGCGTGCGTGAGCCGAAGCGGGTGGGCCTTATCCGAGATGTTGGAGTCCGTTAAATGATTCCCCATAAGCACTGAGGTTCGCTGCGGTTGACAAAAATCATACCCCGCAGGCGTGCTCTGCATCCGGAACCCGCACCGCAGTACTCACCATTAGCCTGTGCTCTAGACACTCACCAAGTCCTCATCTTATAAGCCGCCCTGATCGTCACCCGGAAAATCACTTTCACCAACTTCTTTGGTCAGCTGATACATTACGGCGACCTCTCCGCATGCCCGCCTAGATGAGTGTTAATCAAAATCAACTAACAGTTTCTGATGAACAAATATCAGGTAAATGGATAACAGCAGTCTGCCAGACTATAAAATGCTCTTTTTAAAAGCTGAGAAGGAACACTAGCGGGAAGCAGAGCTTAGAAAACAAGTAAAAAAACACTAACAACTAGCAAAGCAGGAAAGGGACCAGGAAAAAAAATAAATATAATAAATAATCTTTACTGAGCTTATTTATTTCTATCACATCTACTTTTCTTAATCTCTGTAAGCTAAAAGTCTATCTTATTCTATAATAAAAAAGATATCAATACTTACTAGAAAATACTGTCTGTTATAACTTTTATACTAGACTAATTATACAGCTAAGCAGCTAAAGATCTATTATTTTATTTATACTTATCTTATATTATCCAGTCAGCTTACTATATATTTATTCTTACCTCGCCTTGTACTAGAGAACTTAGAGTAATAATTTAATAAAAAAAATAAATAATAAATAAAATTTAGAAAGCTATAAGCAGTTTAATATAAAAAATTATATTTATAATATTATTATAGAGCTCTGCAAGATATCTGCTACTTAAAAAATTTTTATTTAAATAATATAATCTAGTTTAATAATCATACTAATACTCTTAATACAGTTAATATTAACTAGTCACAAATAGATAAATTATTAAGTTCCTGATACTCCTGACTAGATCAATATTATATATACTATATTAATAGTAATTATAATATAATTATTATAATGGTTAAGTATAAGCTGCTTTATAAACTATTTATAAAAAATTTTTAAGCAGATTTATAACCAATATTATTCTAGAATAAAATAATCAGACTGGACTCTATTCCTACAGAAAAGCTTGAAAAATTAAAATATAATATAATCTAATTAATTAATTCAGCTTTAATTTAAAAATATTATATTATACTTCAGGAAAGATTTAAATACTTATATCTGATTAAAAAATTTATAATTATTTTACTGTAAGTCCTTTATAATAATCAGGTATTTTATATTACTATTTTTATAAATCTAATATAAAAATTAATCTGGATGATGAATTAAATTCTTTATAATAATTATTAATAGCTGTTACTTAAGTATTATACTTATATTTTATAAATTCCTGTTTATAATATTATGACTAGAAATAATAAAATATTATAAAGAATTTATTAGAATAAAAAATAAGTTTTAATTATATATATTTCCAGATCCCAGAATTAGAATTACAAAAAAGCTTATTTAATTTAAAATATATAATATCAGAATATATAAGCTCTAAATTTATTATATTAAAATATATATTATCTTTATCTCTTACTCTACTCCCTGCTAATACTTATTAAATAATTATCTAATCTTAAATTAACTGTATATTACTCAATTTAACTTTATATAATAATTCTAATTCTAATACAGATTAAGCTCTAGAAAAAAGAAAATATAATTTTAATTTAATTCTATTGTTTTTTTATTTCTATTTACTTAATAATCAATATATCTAATAGAATCTTAATATATTTAAAGTAGTAGACAAGATCAGTAATACATTATATAATTTTATATTTAGAAATATTTATAAAGTCTGTAACATAGTAATTAGCTAGATAATAATTATTTAAATATTATACTTTATTAATAGAAAGAGAACAGTAGCTAATATCTTATTAATATTAAAATACTGATTAAGCAACTTAAGTAATAACTAAATAAAAATATCAATTAAAATTATATATCTCTAGAAGATTATAATATATTAAAAATCTTATTTAAAATTATTTATACAGTATATAAATATACTATAATTAATAAAAAAATAATTTCCTGACAGTGGAAGAAGATTAAATATAAAAAAACTATATATTATATATTTAATAAAATACAGGCTTCTGCTGTTCCTGTTTTTCTAGAAATAATTAATTTAATTAAATTCTATTTTATATATAAAGCTGGCAAGATCTGTTATATATTTATAATAATCTAGAAAAATAAGTCTATATTAAGATTAAGTATAATAAAAGAACATGTAAGATTATAAAATCTGTGAAAAAAATCTATTCTTTAGAAATCTTATACCAGGACCTCTAGCTAGCTAATATTCTATAAAATATTAAGCTAGAACAGATCCTGATTATTAACTTTTATTATACAGAATTAAATTACTAATTAATAAAGAGGCAGACAGAGTCATGTAGAAAGTATTCTTATAAAAGAAAATTATATAAATAAAAATAACTTTATATTATCTAAATCTTAATGTTAATCTTCTTAAATCTTTTCTTCTGCTCTTGAAGATCACTATTAAATAAATAGTAAAAGAAGAGCAGGCAATATTAGTAATGTAATATCTTCTATCAAGATTCCATAATTTCTTATTTTCCTTTCTTTTGGTTATACTATTTAGCACATGTCAGCACCTTGAGCATAACTTCAGTTATTTTAACTTGCAATATGATGTTTGTTTACAGGTAGTATATCAATGGCGATTTGCTAGCGGATGTTGTCAAAAATAATTCCTCTCTCTCGTGTCTGTCTGGTCACAAGTGTCGAACCAAGACAATAAAGACTGTCGGCTTTACAGTCAGTCTCGAAATCCCACTGACCTTGAAACACACAACAATTGTTTTCTCGCCCCGCTGCCAATACCTTAGCATGGAAGTTATAGAGAGCCACCTGCTTATAAATAAAAATAACCAGGAATTTTGAAGATACAATACCTGAAATATATATAAAATAATATTGAATTATATTCTTATATTAATAGCTTATTAATTTACACAATCCTATCATAATAATAGTTAACTACAGGAGATATCTATAAAAATATATAAAATCTCTTACCCCGGTACCATAGATTCCAGGAAGCTAGAAATACTTATTCCTAATTTTTTATAAATAAACTATATAATATTAACTTCCTTTTTCTAGTAACCATGTATCTTTATCTTATTATAACTTATATAATTAATAAATATACAATATATTTTCTATTATTTAATATAATAAAATAAGATAGTTATTTCCTAATCCTCTTTACCTGTAGCTATTATTTATTAATTATTATTTATTAATAAGTAACAGCTACTGAAACAGTATAATATATAAATTTTAATCTAATATTACTAACCACAGGAATCTCTATTAATGAAAAAATATGTTCAGAATTATCTAGTCCTAGAAATAATGATATTCTATACTAAAATAAATTATAGTAATATAACAAGTTGCTATAGTATATATTTACTTCTAAAAATTTCAGTTATATTTTCTTAATATTAAATCTTAGTCTTATTAATACCAGCTCTCTGATTCTCTTTAAATATTTTACTTCTTAATTATATATTTTTTTATATAGATAAACTTCCGCTCCTCTAGTACAGAGACTAGATTAGAAAAAATATATATAATAAAAACCTACTTATCTATATTTATTATTAAATTAAATAAAAAAATACTTTTAATATAAAAACTATAATTAAAGATATAGAATAAGATCTGGTTCTTACTTCTAAATTTTATTAAAGATTATTCTTCTAATTAAAGTTAAAAAAGAAATTATATCTTAAATATCTATATAAAAAGATTATATTAAATAATATATTTATTATAATAATAGTTTCTTAGTATAATAAACTTACTCAATAATTTAATAAAGCAGAGATTAACTGGCTGTTACGGACCCCTGCTAGTCGACCTGCTAGTAAGGCGGACTTATTAGGCAGAAAATACTGATAAAGACAGCACTCAAGTAATCAGAAACTCTTATTAAAAAGAATTCTGGATTATTTTTATAATATCCAGAACAGCCTTATATTATATAATTACTTATTAAATCTATTATTAAGAATATACTCAGGGTATACTGGAATCTCAAAGCTATGATTAGATTAATTACTAATTTATCTTAAATAATATATAATATAATATACAGAAAATAGAATATATAAAAATATTTATTTATATATTTAGTTAGTTTTGTTCTTTATACTTAATCTATATTAACTTTAAATACTTTATTTTTAAAAGCTTAATAATATAATACTTATTTATACTTATTTATAAATAGCTATATAATATTATCTAGTTTTATTTCTCTTCTCTTATCTAAAATTAGTTATTTTAGATAGACTATTAATCTGATACTACCTTAATCTAGTTTAATAATATATATACTAGTAAAGCTAAGCTAACTGGAATAGAAAAGTAATCTTAGAATTTAATATATTAAGTACTAGTTAGTATAAGTATTATCTATTATAATTATTTATTATATTAATTATTTTAAGCTTATTATATACTTTATAACAGGACTTTAGTACCTAAGAAAGAAGACAGTAATAGAATTTAATAATATAAAAATTAATAAATATAATTAATTAATTATAAGAAAATATTATTATTTTAGAATAATAGAACCAGTTACTTAAAATTATTTAATAATTAAATCTGTTAAAATTAAATTATCAGAATTATTTAATAATAATAAAGTAAAATTTAAGATTTTCTTAATCTAGTTAGACTTATATCTTAATATAAATAAAAAGAAATTTAAAAATAAAGCTAATAAGGTTTTCTTTATATTTATCTATTTAATTAGAATAGTATTTAACTGATTTAAACTGTATATTTATAAATATTAGAAAAAACTAATAGAGAATTAGAATAATAATATTAAGAAAATATTTACCAGTTATATTAAATTTAAAAAATATTTTCAATAAATATTCAGAGATATTAATACAGCATATAATATTAAATAAAAACTATAATAATTTAAGTAAATTAGATTAGTATTTAAGTATATCTCTAAGTTTCTGTAAGTTATTAATTATTTAAACTGGAATAAAAATATCTATATTATATAATTTAAGAAAGAACTTAAAATAGAGATTTAAAAAAAACTTATTTAATAAAAATAACTAGATATTTTTTAATGAATAATTATAATAATAGTTAAAATTAATAATAAATTATATAAGTATAATATAAAATAGAAGAAAAAATAATAAATTAATAAATTTATACCTTAATAAAATAATTAATAAAATTATTAAATTAATAATAAATAGCCAGTACAGTCTAGAAGCCTGGAATATAAAGATTTTTATAAATTAAAATTAATAGAGCTGGATATAATGCAGTACCAGATTTAATTAAATAAAGTTTCTAAGAAGAAGCTTGAAAGATATAAAAAAATTATTTATATTTTAATTATAGTAAGGCAGGTTATTAGTTAAAAGATTATAAATAAAAATAATAATAATTTTAAAAATAATTAAAAGTTATTAATAAAGATTAGGCCAGAGAAGTCTATAATATTATTAATAAATAACTAGAAGTTTAAATAAAAATTAAATTATTAAATAGTAAGAAATTATAAATTATATAATAAGAATAATTACTAGTACCAGTAAATAAGATATATTAAAACTAGTTAAGATAATAAATTAATATAAATAAGCTAATAATATTAACAGAGTTATAAGAAATTTATTAATTATCTAAATTATTTAATTAGCTTATAGAAATTAATAATAGTAATAAGTTAACTCTAGAGAATAAATACTCTGATATAATTTAAAATAAGTTTAATTTTTTAAATAAAAAGTACAGTACTTAGCTAGAAAATCTTAAATTTAGTAAGAAGAGACTTAGTAAAATATCTAATATTCTAGAAAAATTTTTATTAGAAATTAGTAAATTATGCTTAATATAACAGGATAAAAATAAAGAAAATTAAGAAAATACTAATAGTAATATCTTTTATTAATTAGATTATATTATAAAAAAGTTTAAAAAGAATCTAGTATGATTCTGTTTAAGATTTAAAAAAATTATATAATATTATTTATATTAGAATTTAAGATATTAAAAAAATATAAAATAAAGACTGGAAATTATATCTACAGAAATATTTTTATTATCTGGAGTTTTATCTAATATATAAATAAAATAATATAAATTATTATTACTGTCTATTTAAAGTTAGTTAAAAAGTAAGAGTGGCTGGATCAGATTCTTAATATAATTATAAAAAATATTTATATAAATATTTTAAAGAAAATAAGAGATATTAAAAACATGATAAACTTTTTTAAATTATATATTATATAAATATATATTTTTTATATTATAATTAAAAATATATTACAGGATACTGACTGAAAGTACTAGAAATAATAAAAATTAGAAATAATTATTATTTATATTTTAATTTTAATTATTTATATATAAAATATAGATAATACTCACACCATGATATAATATACTAAATAATATACTTTAATAATTAATATATAATATATTATATAGTAAAAATAGAAAATTTAAAATTTCAATAAAAATATTTAAAATTACTGAAATCTAATTAGCCAGACTAATAGTTAATAATTATTAAATTAAAAAAATATTTAAAAATCCAGATAATTATATTAGATTAATCAGCTTAAGTACTAGTAGACTCTAGTATAACTAGAAATTTTATAATCTATAATTTATATAGTAACTGGGGATACTTAAAAAATAGAAAAAAAATTAAAACTAATTATAAAACTAAATAGAAAAAATCTAGAAACTTTTATATTAATAGTCAAGTTAGGAACTATATCTATAATTATAATAAGTTATTTTAAATATATAGATTTTAATATAATATTATTAGAATAGTATAATATTATATTAAGAATTTCATAACTCAGAAATCATAATCTATAAATTAATTAGAAAACTAAAAGTCTTTAATTTATAAATTATAATTATTTAAGATAATATTATTAAAAACTAGATATAAGGTCTGGATCTATACAGTCTATTATATAATATAAAATTAAAGTAAGAATTAAATAATTTATAAAAAAATTAAAGATATTATAGAAGTTTAACATGCCAGGTACTGTAAGAGATTTAAAAAAATAATATTTTAAAAATCATAAAATAAATATTAGTAATAATAAAATTATTATAAATTAATAAATTAATATATTT